CGTTGTCTAACTGAGCTGTTAGTGGACTTAACGGGGTGCCTAAAACGGCTCAGTCAATAAAAATTTGGGATTTATTTTAAAAGTCAACGAAAAGTCTGTTCTTTGATCTACCCTCGTGAAAGTCTATGCTTTAAATGGCCGAATTTTGAAAGTTTGTGCTTAAAATGACTTTTTCCCTATTTTATCGCCGCATTTTATCCTTTTGGAATGTGCTGCATGGCTTCGATGAGTTTCCAAGTTTCTCGTTATGATTTAGAACTTAACTTCGCCCAGACCAGTACTGTACCCCTCTCAGTATCTGGCATTGTCGCCGCGTCAATCTAGCCCGTAAGCGGCACAAAACTTAGAAAATCGGATAACCATGTTCGTTTTACAGGGAGCTCATGAAGATTTGACTTCCCGAATCATCCACAGATCAGCCTAGAAGTCGGGGACAACTGTTGGGACTCATTTTACCGGGTTGAAGGAGAACTCGCCACGTGGACCTAAACTACACCGAGTGCTGACACACGTCACGCTAGCTCGGCCGATCCACTCACGTGTACTGTATCGGGGCAGTTGACGGATTTCCCCAAACATGCCAGAATCATTACTCCCACCCACTCCCCGGGCACGCCGCATGGAAGGGACAGAACGAGAGGACCACGAGTATAAATAGGAGGCAAACCTTTCGAAATAAGAAAGGGGGAGGAGCCCCGAGAGCCCTGAGAGGCCGGGAAGCCCGAGGAGCCCCGAGAGCCCCGAGAGGTCGGGAAGCCCGGGAGGCGGAAGGCGGAAATAGAGGAGAAAAGGAGGGCATCAGCCGACTAAGGCAGCGGCCCCATCCATACAGCAGGATCACGGGTGGACTTCACGTCCTTCCCGAGTGAATGCCAACTAGGTTAAGTCGTCCCTAACCCAGAACCTCGCCTTAGTATCCACTACGTTTTCCCATCGACGAGTAGAAACTCCATTTGAAACACCTAAAATCAGACAGGAACCTCGATCCCCGGACAAGACTCCTCACGATTAACCCATAGAAAATCCCCTCCCGTGTACCTGTTCCCGGTAGGATGTCCACTGACTTGGGCGTCAGAGAACCATCAGAAGGGAAACCCCCTTTCGGTCCTCACGAAGGTTCGCCTGACGTTTGTTTTAGTGTTAACAGGAACAAGCATGACGTTCACGCCTTCACCCTGGGACATGATGCTTCCGCCCCAGAATGACAACTCACCGCTTTTCCCCCAGAGGAACAAATTTAGAGACTTAGCTCCAACCCCGATGAATCATACATCCCTACGTGGCATCCCGAAATTTGCTCCCGAACAGCCCATTATTATTCAGTTAAGCCGAAAGAGTTAAAGGAGCACATGTTAAAAGCTGATGTATTAAAATGGGCAAAACAAAAAACTTTGAGTATTAAAAAGCTTATCAAAATTTAGTTGAGATATTTTATAGAATTTCTCCATTTGTAACAAATGCTCTTAAACTACAAATATAAGAATTATAGCATCTCCACTGAAAAGTTTTCACAAAGGTTCTTAGTAATCATATCACTACAAGAATAAGATGATATAGCTACGAAATTTGTTACGACCTTATTTTGTAACAAAATTTGGTGACATAAAGCCACAAATTTGTGACAATGTACGAGCAGTAATAAATCGTCGCAAATTTGTTATTAATTGTGGCAATATTGTTACAAATACCTACAAAACTTTTGGTGATGCAAATTAGTGTCAGAATGCAACAATATGTTTGTAACAAAAGTTGCTACAAAGCAAATTTGTAACAATCCCTGACAATAGTCACAAAATGTCACAAATGTGTTGTGACAATATTTTACCAAGCAAATTTGTAATTAATTGGTGATAATATTGTTATGAATTGCGACAAAAAAATTTTGTAGCAAATTTGCGTCCAAAAGCAACAATATATTTGTAACAAAAAATTGCGACAAAAAATGTGTAACAATTCGAAACAACAGCGACAAGATGGTTACAAAAATATTGTAGTAAAATTGGATGAAAATTAAATAATAATATCACGTGTACCCATTTGCTACACGTTTTTGTAACAGCTGTTAAGTTGTTGTAATAAATTTTTGCTACAGATTATTTTCTGATTTTTTGTAGCAAATTGCGTGACAGAAAATCAGAAACAAACAAATAAACAAGTATATATGGTCAGAAAAGAAATAATGATAGTAAAATATCTAGCAAAAAAATAATATAAATAGGTGAAGTGTGTTTCAAAGTTTGCAATAACGAAATCTTACAAGCTTTCATAACAAATTTCTTCTTTGATATCCACTATTTTGTTATTTTTGTATTACATTCTCCTTCTATACCATATTGTTACTTACTATAGATGTCTTCCAGCAACTATAATAATAATTCTAAGAGCATGGATGTAAAATCATATCAATCCAGAAACAAGATGTCCAACCGAAGAATTTCAAGCGGGATTAGAAGATTTTATTCGTTATGCGAGCCAGCATTCGTATGAAAATGGCAAAATATGGTGTCCTTGTATATCATGTCAAAATACAATTTTGAAGGACGTGAATAGGGTGTGCAAAGACTTATATAACCAAGGATTTACTCCCAATTATTTTGTATGGACTGGTCATGGAGAGCAGCTACAACATCCCCCAATATATGAAGATGAAGCTCTTAACTATGGTGACCACAACACATTTCAGCGAAACGAAGACGGATGGAATAATTACGGTGGTATGCACGAAGATGCGTATTCTGGAATGATGTCAAATACAGAAGAGGTCGGAGCTTTTGAGGCAGGTTATGATGAACCGATAGAAGATGCCCCCAACAGCAAAGCAGCCCAATTTTTCAATGCTCTGGAATCAGCAAAAGAGCCTCTATATGCCGAATGTGTGGAAGGTTTGTCGAAATTCTCATTCGCCTCAGATATGATGTACGTGAAGACCAAAAACAATGTCTCCAAAGAAACATTTGATGATTTTCTCGTGTTTATAAGCACAATCTTCCTAAAGGGAATGTTGCTCCTGAGACATATTATGAAACAGAGAGGATGAAGCGAACCTTGAGTATGCCTTACATAAAGATAGATGTGTGCCAAAACAATTGCGTGATCCATATAAGAAGATGTTTTATCTTCCACTGGCTGATCGGTTGAAGAGATTATACCTATCTAAAAAAACTGCTGGAAATATGAGGTGGCATGCAGAACATAGACGGACTGACGGGAAGATGGAACATCCTTCTGATGTGGAGGCATGGAAGCATTTTAACCAGGTACATCCTGATTTTGCAAGTAATAGCAGAAACGTGTACCTGGGATTGTGTACTGATGGATTTAATCCATTTGGGATGTCTGGCGGTAATTATTCGTTATGGCCAATAATTATTACTCCATACAATCTACCACCAGATATGTGCATGAAAAGAGAATATTTGTTCTTAACCATACTAGTCCCAAGTCCGAATCATCCCAAAAGAAGTTTGGATATATTTCTGCAACCGATGATTGAAGAGTTGAAAGGGTTATGGAAAGATGGAGTGGAGGCATATTATGTTTCGAGTAACCATCTGTACAACCTACGAGCGGTTTTACTATGGACAGTCAGTGACTTTCCAGCATATGGGATGTTGTCGGGATGGACGACGCATGGTCGCTTATCATGTCCTTACTGCATGGATGATATATATGCTTTTCAGTTGCGACATGGACGGAAAATGAGTTGGTTGACTGCCATAGAAGATTTTTACGTGAGGGTCATACTTTTCACACAAACAAGAGGTGGTTTCGAAAGGGTTTAGTCGTGACCAAAAAAGCACCAGAAGAAGTTTCTGGGGATTACATCATGGAGCAATAGATGAAAACCATCTATGGATTGAAGAAAACCACTGAATGTGGTGGGAATGGTCATATAAACAATGACATCGAGGGGTACTTGGTTTACCACAACTGGCATAAGCAGAGCATCTTCTGGGAGCTGCCGTACTGGCGGAGACATTTTCTGCAACATAATCTCGATGTGATGCACATTGAATTTTTTTTTTGATAACATTTTTAACACTGTCTTCAATGTGCCAGGAAAAACAAAAGATACAATTAATTCAAGGAAAGATCTGGCGTTATATTGTGATAGAAAATCTTTACCTCTAACAGAACGAGGAAGGGCCCCGATTCCCATTTTTAGAATGGTTTCATAGGGAAAGGCAACATTTCTACATTGGTTAAAGCATGAGGTCAAGTTTCTGAATGGGTATGTGTCTAACATTGGGTGTTGCATAAACGAGGAAGCATGTAGAATGTATGGCCTTAAGAGTCACGATTGTCATATAATGATGCAATGTATATTTCCTTTTTGTTTTGCCGGACTACTTCCCCTAGCTGTACACGAGGCGATCTCAGGTATATTTAAATAATAGGTTAAATATTAATTTATATGAATGACAAATATTTTATATGAATGACAAAAAAATGGTATATATTTTTCCACAGATGTTGGATTGTTCTTTCGCGATCTATCCACGAGGGGCTTGACTTCAGGTGATATCATTCGACTGAAACAAAACATATGTCAAACCATATGTAACTTGGAGAAGATATTCCCGCTATCATTCTTCGATGTTATGGAACATTTGACTGTTCACTTACCAACCGAAGCACAACTTGGAGGCCCAGTACAATTTAGATGGATGTATTCATTTGAAAGATTTATGTTTCATCTGAAGAAGAAGGCAAAAAAAAGGCAAATGTAGAAGGCTCGATTGTGGAGGCGTACATTAATGAAGAAATCTCGACATTCACTTCACAGTACTACGATATTCCTGGGACCATTATGAACAAAGAGCCTACAAAAAGACATTATGCCGGATATTTGCAGCACACATCATATTCATTCGAGGTCCCTGAGATATTTTGCCATATTGGTATTGAGAGTGGTCAACCATATAAGGTATATTTATCTGATGAAGACAGCCACATTGCCTACACATATATTCTGCTAAATTGTCCTCAAATGGGACAATATGAAAGGTTTGATATTAAGTATATATATTATTTTATTTCTATTTATTAGTATATTTTTCCTGCTTACACATGTACGTTATACAATTCTACAGCTTATTTGATGATTTTATGAAGTCATCTCATCCGGGTATTACCGATTACCAGCTTAGTGTGGCTAAACAACATGGTTTTTCTCGATGGCTGTTGGATTTGGTGAGTTTGATATATTGGATGTATATACAATTATAAAAGTACATACGAAGTATTTGGTTAATTTCACTAACATGTATGCTTCATCAAAAACAGGTTCGTGCTGATTACAGAAATACGTTGTACCCGCTTTGGTTACATGAGCTTGCAAGAGGTCCAATTCGCCGTTCTACTTGTTGGAACAAATACTTCTCTCGGGGTTATATATTTCATACAGTCCAGTTTGGTGAAAATAGAGCAACAACAAATTATGGTGTATGTGTTCGTGGAAGTTCGGGTCCCAAAGAAGCTTACTATGGTAAACTACACCAAATTATTCAAATTGCATATCATGGTGCTATTGGGTTAAAGGTCATGCTTTTCCGATGTGTTTGGTTTGACACAACGTGTGGTTCGAGAACTAGAATGCACAAACCTGGTGTTGTAGAGGTACTTGCGAGTGGAAGATATGCCGAATATGATCCATTTATACCCACGACACAGGCGGATCAAGTATGTTTCCTACGATATCCTCAACTTATTGTTCAGGAAAATGAATGGTTAGTTGTAGTAAAAGTTACACCACGAGGAGCAATTTCGGAAAGTAGCAAACAACAAGACGCGGCAGTACAAGAGGATGATAACGAATATATAATCCCTACAGAAGTTGGTGTGCTAAACATTAATTCACTTGTAATGCCAGGTGGACAATTAGAAGATATTCCAGAAGATCCAAATATCAATAGCGATGATGAATATGGTTCTGATGTAGAACTAACATAATCAGATAGTACTTCTGATTCGGAAGATGAATAAATATTTATGTATGCAATAATGAAACAAATATTTATATAAGAAGTAAAAGTCTTTATAATCTATTAATTAACTGTCTAATAATGTTTATTTATATCTGTCAAAATAAATTAGATGTACTAATATTTGTTAAGAAGAATATGTACTTTTAAAAAGTGTTAAAAAAGTTGGAAAAACCAATTTACATATCCTAAACTCGAACCTATGTCCCTTAATTTTTCAATGTACATATCCAACTCTCTAACTATATTAACTTGTGTAAATACATTGAACTTATCCCTTTAGAAATATTTATATAATAATCACAAAGCCCACCAACAAATTGTCCAATCTTAGATCTCGGCCCACTTATATGCATACTAACCCACTATTATCTATGAATATTTTGTAACAAATCCATACGAAATATAAATAATATTTTTCTTCCAAGTATATATAACATATGTACCAACATACTAGGTTCCACACAAGTGCTTTCTCCTTCATTGCTGCTTCTTCTCTAAGAAAACCCTAGTTCCAAAACTACAGCTTTCCACTTTATCATTCTCTTTTTATCCATCTTCGTTCTAGAACTCGTCACATCTGAGAGGGGAGTTTTGCCTGTTCATATCTCTCTCCATTTTCCCCATCGATTCGGTTTGATTCTTAATCCTCACCCATTCGCTTCACAAGGTAAATGACACTTACCGACTGAGTTAAATAATCACAATTCCATCTCATGATTAAGTAAAAAAAGCTACATTTAGATTTGTGGGTCTATTAGTGTTGCATGTGGTGTTGCTATTTGTGGGTCTTTTCCACACAAAGTTTATAGCTAAATGCAGCAAAATTATCACACTTTTTTTGTGATAACTTGTAACTATTTTGCGATAATTTATTTGAAGCAACTTTGTAACAATTTGTCACAAAATTTTAGTAACTTTTTGTGTTAAATAGTCACAAAATCTTGTAACTAAATTAGTGTTGCAAATGGTGTTGCTATTTGTGGGTCTTTTCCACACAAAGTTTGTAGCTAAATGCAGCAAAATTACCATAATTTTTTGTGATAAACTTGTAACTATTTTGCGACAACTTATTTGAAACAACTTTGTAACAATTTGTCACAAAATCTTGTAACTAAATTGTAACAAATTTGCTACAATATTTGTAGTAGCTAATTTTCTTTAATTTGCGTCAAAAAAGTTTGTCACTAATTTGTCACAAATTTACTACAATTAGCTGCAAAAAATAACATTGTACTACCACATAGTTTCTAAAATAATTTGAAGCAATTTGTAGCTAAACAGTTTTTGCTACAAAAAAAAATTATAGTTACACAAATTTATGTAGCTATGCTACCTTGTTCTTGTAGTGTATGAATAGAGGAAGTCTTCTTCAGCTTTCTCCCACATTATCATTTATAAATTGAACACATGTCCCATCTCTTTACTTTCCCTTTCTCTAATTAAAATCCATACCACTGTTATTCCAGTCGCCTTCTAGCCTTCTAGCCTTTTTATCTTTTGCCGTTTCCACGAATTTACAATGCAAGGTTAATGTAAACTTTAAATCTATGATAAGAAAGGGATCACCAAAGAAACAATTTTTATGTGTCGTCTCATCTTCTCCCTTAACATCGATAAGTTTTCACCAACAACTCGAATTGAATTATCATCTCCTTCTCGATTTTGTCATGGCTCTTTCTATTCTTGCCTGAAACCTGCCTTTCCGATTCAGTTTTGCTCAAGTAATAACCCCTCCCATGTTCTCAGTTGTCTTCAGTTTCACTCGAATTGCATTGTCCGATCTTGCTTGAATGATTGATTCGTCTTCAGTTCTCGATATTTAATCTTATAGATGCTTGAAAATATAGAAACTGCCGAGCCGATAAGCAGATAAGAGTGTCAGATTGGCTGAAGAAGATAAGAACATGGAGAAGGTCACAAAGGGATTCAAATATAAGAAAAGAAATATGACTTTCTAATTGACGAAGGTATTAAACGACAAATGTTTTATTGTTATGATATTGAATCTGATTTTTATGATATTGGTGCATTTATCATTGTGTTCAAACAATTGTGTATCTGAAAGACAAATTGCTGCAACTACGACAACCACTGGTGTGGAAATTGAACACTCTAAAACTGCTTGGCGTAAGCAAAATGTCACCTATTTATGCCTTTATTACATGTCATTTTCAGGGATGGTGTTAGGTACGACCCTAAATTGAGGAAGAAGTGAGAAGATGAGAAGATAAGAGGTTGACAGAAGAGAGTGATAAGGAGAGAAGAGATAGTGCGGCTACTGGATGATAATAGTTTTTCTTCGATAAGGAAACCCTTCACGAGAACTCGAGTTTAAATACATACTCATAAGGAAACACAACATAAAACGACATAGTATTGAGCTTATTTAGATAATCAAATACTCTCTCTCAGTGAGAATTTCCTACTGACTTCTCCTTATTGACCTTCTAGCCACTTTGGTTGACCTTCTCGTGACACTCCTTCTCCAATGCTCTTGCCTTCCTTCCGTCGGTTCTCTGTTTCTTTCTCATGAAGGCAATAGGCACTTGTAATCTATCAATACTCCTCCCTAATGAAATAAGCTTGTCCTCTAGGTTGAGATCAGGGAATTGACTTACAAGCGTTGACAGCGGTTCCCATGTTGACTCGAAGGATGGCAATCCCTTCCACTGCACGAGTACTTCAGTTGCTGTACCTGTTTCTGATCTCCTCACATCCAATAACGCTTCTGGTTCAGTTTGCCATTCAAGATCAGAGTTTAGGATTACCAGAAGGTCCTGGGATTGATGAGACGATGGGACCGCCCTTTTCAACTGGGAGATATGAAACACCGGATGAATGTTGCTATGTACCGGTAATTTTAACTTGTAAGCCATTCGCCCAATTCGCTCGATTATCTGATAAGGTCCAAAGTACCTTTGAGAAAGCTTCTCATTCTTTCTTTTGGCTAGCGAAACTTGTCTGTAGGGTCTAAGTTTCAAATAAACCCATTCGTCGAGCTCGAACTCCACATCCCGCCGGTGTTTATTTGTCTCTTTCTGCATCCTCAACTATGTAAGCTCCATGTTCTCCCTGAGCTCTACCAACAAACTATCGCTGTCTTTCAAAAGTTCCTCGACCAGTGCATTAGCCGTTGGTATATCCCCATATCGCAACAGTTTTGGTGGTTCTCTCCCATACACAGTAAATAAAGGAGTGTTCTTAATAGCAGAATGGTATGAAGTATTATACCAGTATTCTACCTACGGAAGTCACAGCGCCCATGCTGAAGGTTTCCTGCCCGTGAAGCACCTCAAATATGTCTTGAGGCCGCAATTCACCACTTCTATCTAGCCATCGATTTGTGGATGGTAAGCGGTGCTTTTGTATAACGTCACTCCTTGCGACTTACACAATTTGGACCAGAAGCTACTGAGAAACACATTGTCTCTGTCTGATACTACTGTCTCTGGAAACCCATGTAGTTTAACGACCTCCCTGATGAAAGCTTCAGCTATTGTCTTGGCAGTAAATGGATGTTTCAGAGGTATGAAGTGCCCATATCTTCTCAACCTATCGACTACCACCAGGATAGAGTTAAACCCCTTGGAGTTAGGCAAGCCTTCTATAAAATCCATGCTGACATTGCTCCAAATTTGCTGCAGAATAGGGAGCAAAGAGAGTAAACCGGCATGAGAAGTTGTAGCATACTTATTCTTTTGGCAAACTTGACAACAGATTATGTAGTTGACTACATCTTTCCTTATTCTGCGCCATTGCACTTCTTGAGTTAGCCTCTTATAGGTTTTAAGGGCTCCCTCGTGCCCCCCTACTGCACTGGTATGGAACTGCCCTATTATCTTAGCAATGAAGTTCGAACCTGTGGGAATCATCAATCATCCCTCCTTGTAGAGCATCCCTTTCTCTAAGTGATATCCAGCATGATTTTCCCCCCTTTCCAGTTCGCATAGTATAGGACCCAAGTCAGCATCTGCATTCACTTGGTTAATTAACTCCTCTTTCTCTAAAAACAGAGGAGCCGTGAGATCTAATTGCTGAATTGCCTCAGTTGGTGGTCTTCGTGAAAGGGCATTAGCAACTCTGTTATCCACTCCAGACTTGTATTCAATTCGATAATTGAGACCTATCAGCTTAGCAGTCCATCTTTGCTGCACCGTTGAGATTGCTTTTTGCTCCAATAAATGTTTCAAGCTTCGTTGATCTGTCTTGATGATGAACTCTTTTCCGGTTAAGTAATGTTTCTATTTAGTCATTGTTTTCACAATCGCCAACAGCTCCCTTTCGTAAACAGACTTCAAACGTCCCTTGGAGGAAAACGCTTGACTGATAAATGCTATGGATTTTCGTTCTTGTGACAGCACCACACCTATTCCCATCTCTGAAGCATTTATTTCAATAGTGAAAGCCTTGTTGAAATCCGGTAACACTAAGACAGGTAAGCATGTTACAGTCCTTTTTAGAGCCTGGAATGTCGTTGCTGCTTCGTCAGACCATAGAAACCCATCCTTCTTCAGCAACTCCGTGAGTGGTCTCGCGATTTGCCCATAATTCTTAACAAACTGGTGATAGTATCCTGTAAGCCCTAGAAATCCCCTATACTCAGTCACGGTTTTTGGTGTTGGCCAGCTTAACATTACCTCAATCTTCTCGGGATTGGCTGAAACTCCCTTTTCTGATATTATATGACCCAGGTAAGCCACTTCCGTATTGCCAAATGAACATTTCTTGGCGTTGGCATAAAATTCATGCTGCTTCATGAGTCTTAGCACAGTTCGCAAGTGCTCCAAGTGTGTCTCAATGTTCGAGCTGTAAACCAGAATATCAATACTAAGACAAATCGCCGAAGATATGGCCTGAATAAGTCGTTCATGACACACTGAAAGGTAGAGGGGGCGCTGGTGAGCCCAAAGGGCATCACCAAGAACTCGTAATGCCCTTGATGAGTCTTGAAGGCTGTCTTTTCCA